ACGACGGTACCGACTACACCGGCCAACTCCTAGCCTTGGACGGCTTCATGAACCTTGCAATGGATGATGCTATTGAGTTTCCTGATGGTTGGAAGAATCGTGCTATAGAGGTACAGGTCAGTTCACTTGCTTCTCTGGTAGGTGTTAACAGCGGCTCGGAGGGACGTCGTTATGGCCAGGCTGTTATTCGCGGCAACAACGGTGGGTGCAGGCTAGCACCTCGACTCGCTACAGTTATTCTATTTTAGTACTCTATATCAGTATGCTTGAGCGGAAACAGGAGGAAGAGCAGGGAGATGATGCTGCGGTTGAAAAGGCGTGAAGTGGAGTCTGTCATCTTCAACAGCGTTTCCATTATGCGATGTTGCTTGTCTGGTTTGTAAACCGCTTGAGAACTGAGGGAAAGGATGCTTAGGTGCGCACTATGGAATAGCTTCGAATCAACATGTTGTTCTGGCTTCAAGCCGTGTTCTGCTGCTCCCTTATCCCATAGACTTCGGTAGCCACAGCAACAAGCAGTACGAAGCTTATGTTGGTCATCATCAATGAACGTGATGTTAGTATTAGCCGATAGCCAGTATGCATTCAGCGTTCAACTTTACCGTCGAGGTGTCGCAGTTACCGTAGTCAGACGCGGTCAGTTTCATGTGCTGAGTAAATTGTCGAGAGGTTCCATTCGATAGTAGTGTGTTGGGTATAGTGACAAAGGGTAACTCGAGTTGGTATTAAAAGATGTGGCTTCTTGTCGAGGTGAATTGCAAGCACCATCGTGGCTTCACCTGTCTCTGGTCACTAGATGTCCTTATTTTCTCAAAGGTGCTCTCTGTGTTCGAGTACTTTACTTTTTTTGTGTGTGGGTAGTAGGAGTTACCCACTATTCAATGGCGCCGTCAGAAGGCTCTACCATGCAGAGTCTGCCTGAGGCTACGGGTCCATGCGGTCTCGTTGCTAATGCCCTCTACATGAGAGTTCTCATGCCTGTGGCGGGCCGTGTAGATGGGGGTCTCAGTCGTGTCAATGGGAGTCTGGCCAGTGTTGCTGGTAGAGTTGACGGGTAGGCTGTGCACTACATGCTGACCATGAGCGGATCCTTAGATATCTGGACACCGTCGAGAGACAGCTGGATCCAAACTTCAAGTATCACGAGGCTGCCAGGGCTATGGTGGTTTGTGGAGAGGACATGGTCGTTGAGCGCTGGTAATTACGGTATGAGGTCCTGCAAGAGTGTTAGTCGTAGGCGGCCAGGAAAGTGTGGGAGGACAAACGAGTCGGTGGTAAGATGTGAAAAGGGTCCTGAGGAGGTACATCGTGGCCGCTTAGTCTGGTGCTGCATGTTATGATATCGAGAGGTCCAGTCGTCGGATGGCATCGGATCGATCCCAAAGGGCTGGGCCTTCTTCGAGGTGGGCCGGGGTGCTTGCTCATGGGGTGATACGATGGGGTCTTCATCGCCAGGCACAGTGGGAGGAGGGCTAAGAGGGCTGATTCGGAATTGGGTAAATCGAGGCTAGCGATAGCGAGCGGAAGACTGGTGATGGTGAGTGAGGGCAGATGATGGGCAATCGTATCGGGTAGTATTGTAGGCCTTCCGCAACGCGTGGACGACGGCTGCCTCTCCTGTAAGGCTTGTGCATAGAAGGTCGGAGTTT